GTGTCCTGAGTGGCACCAAAAGTATGGCCATGTGGCCAGCATGTCAAGAGAGGTGATTCTGCCCCTCTGCTCTGCTCCGGTGAGACTCCATATAAAGTTCTGTGTGCAGCTCTGGGGTCCTCTGCACAGAAAGGACATGAACCTGTTGGACTGGATCCAAAGGAGAGCCATGAAGATGATTAGACTGAAACACCTCTCCTGTGAGGAAAGGATGAGAGAATTGGAACTGTTCAGAGTGGAGAAGAGAAGGCTCCAGGAAGACCTTAGAGCAGCCGTCCAGTACCTAAAGGTGGCCTATAAGGAAGGTTGCCTTGAGAGGTGTTAAGAGCCCCATGCCTGGAAAGATTCAAGGTCAGGTTGGTCAGTGCTCTGAGCAATCTGATGCATTTGAAGATGTCCCTGCTCATTGTAGAGGGATGGGACTAGATGGCCTTTAAATGTCAATTCCAACCCAAACTATTCTATGACTCTGTGATTTGATTATCCTCGTGAATCCCTTTAAACTCAGGATATTCTATGATTGTATGATTGATTCTATGAAAATTGGAAAGAGCTTCTGGTCCTTACTCAGGGTTTAGCACTTCTGGAGGCATGCATTAGTTTTGCTTACAGAACATATGTGTGAAATTAATAAAGGCTAAGTTGTTCACTGTAAGAGGAATTTGGAAAGTTATTATGTATATGTGTTTGACAGACCAAGGGCAGCCTCTCACGTGGTTGGGCTGACTCAGGTTTCAGCCTTTTAATAGCTGCCATTTTACTACATTTTTCACCTACCTCTTGTGAAGGACTTCAGAGGTTAAAAAGCAAAATGGCATTTTATTTCAATAGGTATCAATCGTGTGGAGAGTGTTGGTGCTGCATCATAAGAGGAAATCAACTTCTGTGACTGCAGCAATATCATCAGTGGAGAGAAGTTCTGGCAGAGAACAAAAAGTAAAACAATGGAGTGAGGTTTAGGATGGAGCGTGGAGCAGTCTCTTAGAGGGATGTCTTACAGCTGAGATACCTGCAATAGCTCATTCCAGCTTAGCCACCTTGGAACAGATTGTTCCCCTGAGTCACATTATAGCTTAATCTAAATCATAGGTAGGCTGAAGTAATCACCAGCTGAAATCAGGGGAAGCTTCCCATTGGCATAAATGACATTTGGATCATGGATTTAGTAACCACTTAACATGGGCTGTTAAACTCTCCTTTAGGAAAGTATAATTTCTTTCATTGTTTTCACAACAAACAGATAATAAAGCTGACATCTCCGTTAACACCAAGAATAAACATTTTGTAGGTCATGCTGTTCAGGTATCAGTTTTACTGAAAACCCCAAGGAAGCTCTTCAGGGGAAAAAAGAAGTATTTTTTGTGCTTTATAGCTTCTGGTAAATACAGGATCGATGAAGTGAGCATTGATGTGTTTGCTTTCACATTGAATGCAGCTGGAATGTATTTTTCAGCATTTGGCTGACTAGTGTGGAATTCAATTCAATATATTTCACCTACAAAACTGAAGAGTTCTTTTAAATTGGTGTCTTTTGAATAGGCACAAAATGCCTATTTTGATTCATTTGAAAAATAACAGGCACAAAAAGTTATGGTCTGGAAACACCAGGAGAGAAATCTTTAATTATCTTTCAACTAATTTCAGCCGGTACAGAGATTTTAGTGTTTTTCTTAATAAGTTATGAATATCTTATAGATATCTTCAGATTACAAAAGTTTCTCCTACGTTAAAATCCCACATAGAAATTTCACACTTCCAAAATACTATTTTAGGAAAAAATGTCCACTTAAGACTAGCGTTTTACAATGGCAATGCCTTCAAAACATCGGCGTCAGCCTTTCTTCTACACAAAATGGAACATGACTGATTGCTGACTCTGCAGGATCCCCATCTATCGCCGTTATTCAGGAATCAGTTCACAGTTCCTTCTTAAAAAACCTGGGTGATGGCTTTTTTTTCCTGCCAAACTGGAAAGATGTTACTTTGTGGGATTTTTAATGTGTGTTAATCATAAAGTGACTTTTAGGGAAATACAGTGAAGGCAGAGAGAGCCCTATATCATTGACTTATTTTTTAATTATATCAGAAATCACATTGGCTTAAGTACAGAGTTTTGCCTAACTCTATTAAAAGGAATTTTCAAAGAATCGGTATTTGTATACTTAGCACTTTTTCAAAACTAGACCCATTTAGTGGCCAGAAAAATCATTGAGCCATTAAAAACTGAACTGCAGAAATATCTCTCTCACATGAATCCCTATGCCCAAGGATATTGCTGATCTGCATTTTCTTCAATGTAACAACACTTGGTTTCATTCATGTCTTGTAACTATGGAACGTTAATTGAGAGGATCAAAAGCATGCTTTCCAAACGACATTTTTGGCACTGCTGACAAGAATTTCCTCCGTGTTTCTTGTTCCCGAGGCCTTAAAAGATTCTGGATGAATTAATGGCTTTGATTTTTTTTCTAATTTGTTTCTTGGGAAGAAAATATTTTCTTTTTTTTTTTTTTTTTTTAAATAAGGCTTATCAGGTAAACCCTAATATTAGAGTATGAAAGAGTGCTTATTAGAATTCAGATGACAGGTGTGCTTGAAAGGCACTGGGTCAAAACGCAGTTCAATTTGCTTGACCCTACTGGCATTACTAAACCTACTACACCTCCATTTGCATATCTATATGACAAAGATTTTGCTTAGTTTAATTTGAGAGGTTCCTGGGCTTACAGATCAGTGTGTAGAAAATGCACAAGCAGGAATAATCAAACAGAGTTGCCTATATGGAGACATAAAAGCCTGACCCTATGATTTTAAGAATGCTTCTGCTAATTTGGTTACAGCAGTGTAACATGGAGGGGGTTTTCCTAACTGTTGTTGGTATGGGGTTCAAATACAAGTGAGTATATTGCTGCTTAATCTTTGATGTAAGGACCATGTATGGCTTTCACACAGGTTGATTCGTCATCACTCCTGACTTCTGCTTAAGTTTCTGTGCCAAGTGCTGCTAGGGAGTTAATGAAATGGAGTCCCAGTTACCTAACACCCTCCAGTGAACTGGTGAATTGGCAAATTCCCGTCCCACGGAAGTGGAAGAGTAGAAGAGGTGCTTGTTCCCCTAATTCCTGTTGCTGGCCACACAGCATGTATCACTGTTGTGCTGGACCAAAACTCCTCTCTCTGCTTTAACCTCCACACTCCTGGACACCCCTTCTGCTTCTTTCTCTCTCCCCTGAAGGGGTAGGTAATGAAAGACATGATTAAGACATAGTTTAAGACAAAATAAGTTGAGTAATTCTTTCAAAAATTCAGATTCCCAGCCAGAAAGGGGAATCCAAGGGCAAACAAGGCTCTCCCCAGCAGGCAGAGATCCTCGCCAGCTCCTTACACATCAGTGAAAGTGTGTCCTGCTAATGTAGGCCAATCTCAGAGCTTATCCTTTCTCTCCCAGCTGTCAGGATTTCCTAAATAATTTCCTGCATAATCCAGCCGCAGGTATCAAGGAGAGGAGGATCGTGAGTCAAGGAGACTCTAAGAGAGGTACAAGAAGGTTTATGACCTTCTTTGAAGGTTTTCTCTGCTCACTCTTGTTTTCTTTCATTTCCCTCCTATTTCGTTTTGTGACTTTAACTGCATGAGCTCCATTTCTTCTCCCAGCAAAGTCATTAGGTGTTTGTCATCCATTCCACTGGGGCCAGGAATAAACTAGAATTGCAAAGCTGTTCACTTTAGCCTGTCCTTGCCAGGTTGATCCTGCCAAATGTTAGCTTAATTTTTTTTTAATAAGAAAAAACAATACATTTGAATAAAAATTGAACTGATCCATTCTACCAGAGGGAAATTGTTCACTTGGAGGCATCTGTAGGGAAAGCAAATAATTGGAAAGTTGGATTTTAAAATCATGAGTAAAGATACTGATAAGTCCGGGTTTTAATCCAGAAATTCATTATTTAAGGTACGCCAGAGTGTAGGAGATCCAGGTTGAGTTCTCTCACTTTCCTGTGAGAAATGGAAGCCATGCCTCTGGCTTTCAAAGGGAGAGTCTGACCTGCAACAAGCATCTAGTGAGCCCTAGAGAAGGAGTGTCATCCTCTCAGACCCTCACATTCGTTTGGTTCAGCTCCATATAAATAGTAATTTGTTAGAGCCAGACTCAGAAATGAGGGATATCCTGTCTGGGTGAGTGAGCTGACCATCGTGCTGGGGAAACTCTATTTCTGCTTCAATAACTATTCCACTACTTCATGCAGGATAGGAGGGGTTGAGAGAATCATGTCTCCACCTTGGGCTATAAACTCTGCAATACCTCCTTAGAAAAGATCAGTGTCTTCCAGGAGAGAGTCTGATTTTTTCCCCATAGACCTGGGTTTGGATTACCCAGCAGCCTCAGACGAACATAGCTCTGGTCACACAACCAAGACCTGCAGCAGGAGCTTACTTCAGTGTTTGTGGTTTGTGTGCTGGGAGAGAGAAAGGCTGAGTAGCCTTGTCTCATATTGCATCTAGTACATGGTCTGTCTCTAGCAAGGTTCAGTTACACCTTATGTTTGTCCTTGGTTCCAAACACTTTCTATAAATCACTTTTAACCCTGAGTATGAGTCCTATTCTGACCAAGGTGGTTGTGCAGTCCTTTGTTCATCGTGCATATGTCTCCTCTCTTTTTGGAGAGCCCACAGAAGGTGAAGCATTTTGTCTAAGACTTCAGTACAAAGGGAAGCAAATACAAAAAGATAAAATGTCTAAATTATTGTCCTTTGCTAAATGCTAGACATGTGGTTAGGCTGTAAAAGATTCAGTGAGGACAGTCCCTAATAGATTTTGTGTCAGAATCTGACTGCTGAATTATCCTCTCCGTCCCTTTCACCTTTCACTGAAATGTGAAATAAAAGTGAAAAAATTGCCTTTTGGCAGCAGATATGGGGATTCACTACCTGATTCTCAATTTACAAGCAACTGTCTGATTTGCTTTTCTTTATCCCATTTATTTTATTTCCTCTTTCAGGGAAGGCTGCTTGTCCCCCCTCAGCCCAGAGGCATGGCCTCTTGTGCAGTCTTTCATATGCCACAACCGAACGTTCATCCTGGATGGCCATGTGCAGCTGAAGACGAGTCTGCAGACCCAGGAGCGACACCTTTTTCTCTTCACAGACATTCTGGTTGTTGCCAAGTCCAAGTGAGTATGGCCCGTAGCCACAGAGGAATTCCAGGATAAAACATTTTAAGGAAGTATTAGATGTTCTTTGATGTATTGCTTGCATTGTGTAATCTTCTCCGCTCTGGGAGTGCAGTGTCACAGAAAAGGTTCACTTGTGCTTGGCTGTGTCCACTGTGCTACCTTCAACTTGTCGTGTTTCAGACAGGGCATCCTCAGTCCCATGGGGTGTGTGTAACCCCAGTGGTGGGTTGCAGAGGCGTTAGAGATCTTAACCCTTACCTGGAAGCTGCTTTGGATACACACCAGTGATGAGCAGCTGTATAAAAATAGAGATTGCAGACGGCATTACAGTGCATGTCTCTGCAGTTTGTCCTGTGCCAGAAGGAGCGTGGGGAAGGGGAAGCGGTGCTGGGCAGTCTGGGTAGTGTTCATGTGTAATCAGGCTCACTGCTGAGCTCTGATTATTCACTCTACCATTCACAATTAAATCACATTTACAAGCTGTGTCTAGCATGCCAGATTCATGCGGCATTTGTGGTTTAAGGCAATTTTAGAGGGTGCTTTCACTTGTTGTTATGGGTTATGGGGAAATAATAATAAAAAATCCTGATGTAGCTTCTCTCTCTGTTAGGCACTGTGTTGTGGTTTCGCAGGGTGGGCAGTCTCAATGTGAATTCTGGGCTTTTGCAATGTGTCATTTCGCTTAAGCAATTGTTTCAGGGGCTTCTGGGAAAAGCCAAAAGAAATCTGTGTTTTCTGTAGAAATCTGAGCCGTGTCTGTTTGAATCACACATGGTAAACACAACCCCCCCAGCTGAACTCCCTCACTTGATGTGGTGTGACAACACAGAGGATGTTTTACACAAAACATGTTCCGCTGTGGTGGGTGGTGAACGTAAGGATATTTAGGGGAAACCTTGCTATTCTACCAGCAGTAGCAATGACAACATTGTTACTGTATTGATTTATGTTTGTTGCTTGTTTAGAGTGGAATTCACCTCACCTAATTTCAGCTTTAAAATGTGAATTATTTGCAACTTACCCGAGTTTCTAGGCTTCTCTTACAGTCTTACAGTCACTGAAGCTGCACCTTACTGCAGCAAACTCACCTGGAGCTGAAAGAGTGTTGATAGTGGGTGAGGGGAGTCAGGTTCTTGGGGGTCTCTTACTCTGTACACTGTCTATCCAGTGGTCTTTGTCCACTAGCTTAGCTCCTAAATTGTAGAAGACTGAAGTCAGAAGGGGTAAATCCCTCCCACCCTGGTCAGCATGCTGAGCAGAAGCTATGTTACAGCCCCAAGCTGAGCTGCATATTACTGAAGGTTTGACTGGGTCCCAGTGGGACTATTTGCATAGGAAAGCACTACTTGGTGTAACCACACAAAAACCTGGTCCCCAGGGAGTAATAACAGCTCTTACAGCGTGTGATTTAATGTGGAGCAGAGACTGCAATGTTTGAAAAAGGTAGAAGAGAACAAATTGTGCTTTTGCATGTGAAAAGGGGGGTGGGCAAGTCTTTGCTAGAAATGGTATAAAGAGTATTTTGAGTGATATTACTTCATGTATTTTGAAGATCTAATTGGGATGTTCTCTTTACAGCTACCCTGTCAGCAATTAAAGCATCAGAGCTGTCACTAATGAATACTACTTAAAAATCAGCATTTTTAAAGCTGTCTTACCGGTGCTGGTTCCTAGAAGGAAGACCTGAGTGTGTGTATTGCTATGTGGCTGTGACTGTTGATTGCTATTGACTTTTTAATAGCCTGGTGCAGAGTCAAAGCAGTCAGACCAGGACAGAGTTATTGATACGGTTGAATCTGACTTAACTTCAGAATTATTCCTTGTGAAGGTGCTAAAAATTTGTAATACTCCTTTGTCTTCAGTAGTTTTTTGGCTTAAGGCATATGAACCCCTACAGTATCTTTGGTACAGCTCGGTGCTGTGCTGGTGTCAGCTCAGGTGCAGGTAGCCGGTCACTGTACAAAGGGAGCTCATGTGTAATTAGGCTTCGTATGATCAGCAAACAGGTACAAGTTTTTCCTAAAGAGAGCAACAAGGATCTTGTGTCCTCTGAGCTTGCTGAGTAAACTACTGTATAGCACTGAGTTCCTGCTTAAAGGCAGCCAATTGGCATTGCTCCCACGGAAATTTGTGAGGGGTAAGTTCTCTCTACAACTGGTCCGTGTATGACTTTAGACAAGGGGCCTCTAGGTTCATTTTTTGCTACTTTCTAATAGTTTCTGAAATGTGCATTATACCAGCTTATAAAAAACAAGAATAATACTCACATGCTGTGGTCCTCTGCTGCCCTGTCCTTCACTGCCTTCATGTGGGGATTAAGTCACAAATGAATTGATTGAAAGAGTTTTTCTCACTGAACCAAAGTTAAGTATGTAAAATATTATATACTCTTTCCTATATATTGATTAGATTTCTTACAGATAGCATGTGTTTCTGTTTGGCAGAGTAGATACTTCAAGGATCTGTCAATTCAATGGTGGTTTCTCACGTAAATTTTTGTGTGGAAGGCACAGAGAAATGACTTCCTCTTTCTCTTTTGTAATGTGCACCCTTGTATATAAACATGCCTTTTCAGGTTATTTTCCCAATATGTCTGGACATAGAAATTAATGGTTAAGTGCATACATGGAATTATGGTAGCAATCTCACAGTAGATCCATTAATGCTTTTGTCAGAGGGTCCTATTAAGGAGATTAGCAAATCCAGTGAGAAGTTAATCTCCCATCTGTTATCGGTTGCAAAGTATCCAATTGCAAGCAAGAGGAACTGCAAGCGCTCTGCATGGAGTGAATCAATACCTGCACCATTGATGTTCATGACTTTTCTCTTGATTTCAGTGGACTTGGGATCTGCCTGATGTTTACGGTAACATTTGCTAGGGGACTTCCTTAAAAATGTATATAATATTCATTAGATTTTACTCTGGCCATTTTTAAAACGTTCAGTCATGCTGCTTTCTTAGTCAGCAATGATATATTCATTTCTAGAGGTAATGCTTTGGCACTTCAGTAGAAGGCCCACATTTCACAAATGCTGAGAACCCATGGATTGCATAAAGGACATGGCAGATAGGGATAAAAATATACTTCAGGCTCTTTAGATGTTAATGGAGGCTACTGTTTCAGTGCCTCTGGAAACCAGGCCACTTGAATACTGATAATAGCTGAAAGCTCTGACTACGCATGGCAAACAGGGCAAGAATATACATCAAGCATGACTGGAGAACATCCTTGTGCTTCTGCCAACACCCTGCTGACACCTGCTACTGGCACTGTAGGGATCTGGCTTTATGAACTGTAAATGTTAAAAAAGTGAAACAGCATGTAGAGTGTTCACTGTACTGGGGAATGGGAAAAAAGTTAAGGAGAAAGGGAGGGTCAACAGGTTGATTCTGTGGAGTAAGACCAGACTTCCATTTATTAACATCTACATTAGAATTCACAGCTGTAATTTTTTGTAAATCTACATTTTCACAGTTCATTCTGTGGTCAGTCAGAATACAGTTATTTTTATATTCTTGACAGACCTTACTTGTTGCATCATAAACTAATTTTGAACAAGCATGCTGAAATGTTCTCCTGTACTTTAAGTTTCTCTTTGATTGGGCAGCAGAACATAATAGAGTGAAGAGAGGTGAAGTGTTCAACTGATCAGGAAACACCATGGTCTTAGTTTAGCTGAACATGGTGTTTAGCTCTTAGTTTAAAAAATACAGGAACTTGAGATGGTATTTTACAGTATTTTATGACAATACAAATGGAAGTGCATCTTTTTACCAGGTTTGATATACACTGATAATCCTTTCTTGCCCAACACTGGGAGCATTGCTGCACACCATCTCACCACACGTGTCAGTACAATGTCAGCTGGAAAACTTAGACCAGTCAGGGTACTGCAAGTTCACCTATTCCCTCTTGAAAGCAACAAGGTTCAAGTACTTTCGTGATTCCAACTGAATTAGTTCAGTCTGTTCTAAGTCAAATACCTTGTAAATGAGACTAATCTCAGAGAAGGTGGCCCACATGTATCAAAGCCATAGGAAAATGCTTACTTGGCATATTTATTTATAGAGCCCTAATCACCACAGTGGCCGGCACTGTCCCCATCATGTTTGCAACACAGTGGTGAGCTGACATGCTCTTTCTTGCATATCCCCTCGGCTTCAGGGAGGGAACACTTTTGCTCCAGCCTTTCCCTGATGGCCCAGGACAACCACAGCTCAGGTAGTTCCAACTGCAGGGCTTAAAGTGTGTGGCTGTTGCAGTGCTACAGAGCTGCATTGACTTTGAGTTTTCACTTGTTTCTCACATAGCACTAGCACCTCACCAATACTACAAAGGAAGGAGACTTATAATGAGAAAACAGGTGGAAGAAAAGAGTTGAAATTAAAATGTGAAACTGTGTAAATTTGACCTTTATTGTTTAGTAGGATAAAACACAGGAAGGGCCAAATTTTTAAAAATTTGGGAAATTTTATATCTTCCTTATAGATGAGTGAATATTTTGAGAATGCACAAAGTTCTGGCTCAGTCTCCAAGTGATGTGGACCTAAAACTACCATGCATCTAGTTCGTGGAGACTGTATGGTGACCTGTTCTGTAGCTAACACAAATGGCAGTTTCTGCTTGTTCTTTCTTCAGGATTTCTTCATTTGCCCTGACCTAGTTGTCACTACTTAAACTCATCATAGTTTTTGACCCTGGGGCTAAGCAATAGAACTGTATTATAAACTCCTCAATAGCATTAAAGTCACTAAAAGAAGACTCAAGTACAAGTGGCAATCTTTGCCTCATGGTGAGATTTGGAGAAGAACTCTAAACATGAACAGAAGTTTTCCCCTAAGAAGGGCAGTTCCCAGGGATGCCACAAGCAATCTGTTTATCCCACAAATAAGAGATCTGTTGATCCCATTCAAATGAGAAATTGATACGTTTTTATATGTAACCCAATAAAACATTGTTTTCTTTAACTGAAGCAGAAGACCTTCTCTCTCAGCTCCAATGCAAGTTTCACGTGTGCCTGAAGGAAGAAAAATCTCTAGTTGTTTAATCTGCCTTGGTATGTTTTCATCTGTGTGACTTACCTATGATTTTCTGCCTGCAGGTCACACTCTCATTTCAAACTGAAGTGCCAAGCACGTCTCTGTGAGATGTGGACAGCATTTTGTACAGAAGAAGTCTGTGAAGGCAGCACAGACCCAGAGAGGTCCTTTGTTTTGGGCTGGCCTACCACAAACTGTGTGGCAAATTTCAGGTAAGAATTGAGATGTTTTATTTCAAGTTACTTAAATGTTTTTAGGCTGTCAGGTAATGAGACTATCACAAATTCATTTCAGCACCAGTGAATGTGGGGAGCAGCAATTTGCTGATCGTTAAACCAATTCCTTCTACTGCTGTGAGCAAGTCACCCTCCACACCTCATCTTCTTTCTCCCTCCAAATGGAGCAGTGGTACTTGCTTATCATTTTAAAAATTAAGAAAATATGTAACTTGGCAAAGCACTGTCTGTGCTGCAAACTTGCTCAGTGGAAATTATCCTTTTTTTTTTTTTATAACTTGATGAACACCTTGGCTAATTAATAAGATGAACTACAAATATTAAACAGACAAGCTAATGAAAGAATCAAAGAGACAGTTTTAAACAGAAGAGCAGGTATTGGAAATAGCAAAAAACATACAGTGAAATACTGACCTTGTCCTATTTCTCTGTTCAATTTAATTGTGCCAGAGAAAATGTCAAAATTCCTCTTAAAGCAGCATCTCTGAATTTTAATAGAAAGATTTTTGGACTGTCTTCGCAGCATAGACTGTAGCACACATAAGGGCTGTAGAGGTAATTTCAGTGATTAGGCTAATTTTAGTCTCAGCAGGAGGGCTCTGTCGTCACTTTGGAGGAGGGAGGGCACATCCCCCTGAAATCCCAGCTGCTTAGCCACGGTAATTTGCCTGAGTCTTGGAAAATGCATTTTCTTCTTTATCAACACAGAACAAAAGCTGAAGTATCCAGTTTAATTTCTGTATCACATTGTCCTTACCCAAAGAGTGTACAAAGTGCACTCTATTGAGTTGGTTGTGCTGTTTATGGTTTTTACACTTTAATAGCCCTGAAACAGAGATGAAATTTTCTATTGATTTTCAGTTGAACTCTTGCCAATAAACATGAGCTTTGATCTAGAAACAGTATGTGATCCTGTATAGATATCAGAAAGTAGTTGAATAGGAAAGCAATAGCTTAAATAAAAAAAGAGTCAGAGATTTTACAGCAGTGAAATTATTTTATGTCTGGAGGTACACCGAAAAATCTGAAATGCCAGGTGAGTCCAGTTATGTCCAACATAACTGAAACAACCAAAGCAGAGTCATATTTGTAGCATTTACATTTGTAGCATTCCCCTCACAGCATCATTCAGAAGGTTTGTGGTTCCCTAAATACCTTCTCTAAAATTTGAAGAAACTTGATTTACAAAAGCAGCAGTGGGAATAGCAGTTACTCCATCTGGGACAGGATTTAAATCAAGAAAGTTGAAGCAAAATTAGGTTAGATTCCTTGAACAGTCCTATTATTAGCTACATTTAACTGGACAGCTTGGTATCCTTGAAAGTGTATAAATGAGATAAAGATAAATGAGATATGCCTTAGAATGTCCAAAGTTTGACTGTACTAAGCACAATGGGCTTATGTGTACTTTGTGATGTGCTGATAAAACAACTAATAAACAAGAAGATAATTAGAATAGTGAAAGTGGAAAGAAGTCTGTATACCTGATGAAATACCTTTAAACTTTTGAATTAATCTCTTATTCTAAAGTGCCCTCCTGTTCTATTTGGACACTACTTTAAGAACTCAATACTTTTCCTACTGATTTCATTGGAAAAACTTTAAGATTCTGTGACAAAAACTGCTAACTGGGGCCTTTGGTCTCCATGGGCAGGCTTTTCAGTTGACTTTGCAGGGAAGCAGACTTTTCATTCAAATTTGGATAAATCTTTTAGTTTTTGTAGGTATTTATAAAATTGCAACCAAGAAACAGTCCATTCCACTGAGGTTTGTAAGAGGACTATTTTGGTGTTAGAATGATGGCTGATTTATCCCTGCTTTGTTTTAATTTTCAGGTCTGCAGAACAAAAGGAAACATGGCTCTCTTATTTGCAGAGGTACTTTTTTATGTGGTCTTTAAAGACATTGAAAAGAGTCCCAGTCTAGACCAGTGATTCCCAAGCTGTGGTGCCTATGCCATCATGATAGATAAGCTCCTTCAAAGTGATATTAAGGAAAAAAATATCATGTCTTCTTCCTGCAGAAAATGGTGTGTGCCTTTTATGCAACAATCACTGTGCAAGGAGAGAATCGCTTCCCTGTGCTCAGCACAAAACCAGAGCAATTCCTCATACACATTATTCCTTCCCCATGCAGCATCAGAAGCCTCTGCCACTGTTGCTCTGGTTGAGCCTGGAGCTCTTTCCATTTTGATGGCATCTAAGCAAGCCCAGCTCAGGACCTCTGCTCTAACCTGTCTGCTGCTTGTGGCCAGCTATATTTTGGTCTTACAGAACATACCACAAGCTGGAGGGTATGGTGGGAGGGTTTGCAGAAATAGAGCTGTCTTATTTCGTTCAGTGTTTGGACAGACAGTGATAGTTCTGCTTTCTGGTCAGCAGTTCTGGTTGAGGTTTCTGTCTTGATCTGATTCTTCAGAGTTCCTGGGTTTTTTAAATCGTTCTTGCTGGGATGATTTCCAGTTCACTCTTCTCCTGTTCAGTCCTTTGAGCTAATCTGTACTGATGTAACAGACTCCAGTAGGAGCTTTTAGTGCAGACTGAGGCATCACAATGATGGGTAGTTTTAGCTTGATTTTTTCTATTCACTTTCTCTGCTGATTACTCTGATTTCTACAATGAACTTCAAGGCAACAAAGGCATTACTGGGGACCACAATTGGCATTCCTTCCAGATACTGCTGCTGGGTGCTTTCTTTTCTTCGGAGATCCTTCTAGTGCAGTACATCTGCAAACAGTCTGCTTCTTATCCAGTTACTGCTTGCTTGCTATTTAAATATATGTCTTGCTATTTATATTTGCAATATTAAAATTTTACTTGTTTTGTACTTTCTTTGTCAGTCGAATAAGAGAAGAGAAGGAAAAAGACAATCCTAAAAGGATTCCTGTGACGATAATTGCAAAAGACGTGGGAACTTGTGCATATGTAAGTGCTCTTGAGTTAAATAGGTGTCCAAATCCATATCACCTGTGAGTGCTAGTGACCTGCAAATCCTTTGGATATTGAAAGGGTTCCTTTGATTTGCAATGTCCTTTAGGGATTCAGCCCCTTGAAAAGACTTGGCATACGCAGCCCTGACATGTTTGTTCCCTGTGTTTAATACATGACTTCCGTTTTAAAGACAGTGTGCTTGGTAAGAAATACTGGTTCTGGCATACAAACTAAAGACTGTGCAGTGTAAAGTCCCAAGAAACACCTCCAGCGGAACTTATGCATAAGCATCTTCAGAAATGCCAGCACAATGTATCCTTTTTTTTGCTTGTAAAACTTATCTAAACCCACAACTGCCTTCATTCAATTCTGCAAAGCTGCAGTGTGTTTTGTGGTTTATAGTGATCTTAAGTCAGGAAAGCAGTGTGTAAAAACACCCTGAAATTGCATTAAGCGTGTTTTGCATCAACTAATTGATGCTGGTAAATTTATAGGCAAAGTATAAATAGTAAAAAAAGGTCATCCACAGGGTGATTTGCACCTTTTTGACTAAGTAAGTTTTAACCAATTTAAACTAAGTTCTTATATGTAGCCAATTCCATAGGGATACCCTAGCATTCAGTGATAATCCACCCATTCTTCCTTTACTTCTTCTACATTTGTTTTTTCTTTCTTGTAACATCTGTATTTCAAGCTCAGAACCCCAGGGAGCATGTGCAAGGGAATGAGAAATTTTGACAGAAGTCCGATTTCACTGAAGATCTTTGCCCAGCGGTGAATCTGCACTTAGAATTCTGTATTTGCACAGATGAAAGCATAAAGGAGTCTGCCTTTTTTTCAGAAAATAATAATTAAACAATAATATAATTTCTAGGTTGCTAAGACAAAAATTAATAAACAATACCAAAAATTGTGATAGTTCAAATGCAAGACTACAGATCAAGGTCTGCTCAGGTGTAAAAGTCTGTAAATCATACATGCTCTCAGGGGTTGCAGTCTTGTACCAGAGTTTGTTGGGGTTCTTTTTAATGCCTTTTTTCCCTAGCAGTAATTAGCTCATGTGCCACATATGGTCTCTGGATCCTGACAGTCCTAGAAATGACACCCTATAGTCTGGATTTTATCAGTAATAAAACAGAGGAGGAACAGATAGAAATTCTGTGATGCAAATAGTTCTTATTGCAGCATGGTTCCTGCTATAGCGTCTGGACATGCCCAAGAATTATTTTGGTTTTGGACAGTAAGGAAGGCTGAACACAAGGCACAAACCATTTTATTATATTCTTGCCAAGAGCAAAACTTATGCAAATGTTCTGACCTACTCCTGAGAGCCAGATGTCATTGCTACAGGCAAATGTTAAATTTTTTATGGTATGAGCGTTCAGATATGTCCTGAAGCAAGATATACCGTATTCTCACTACTTTCCTTTCATTGCCATGGCAGCTTGTTACCGTCAGGAACTTACACAAATGTACAGCTCAGATCTTTTCTAAATGCAAAATGTCAGGGGGTTGTTTCACCTGAACACCTTATGGCCAGCATAAAATTGATATGCTACAGAAGGTATCAGCAAACTGTCTTGGGACTGGCAATGAACATCTACATCCCAGCTCTGCCACCTCGCCTTGTTTGGGCCATCAGATACGCCTGGGTGGTTTGTTGCAGTGGGCATGCCTTTGTTCTGCCAAGACTTTAGTCTGGCCAGGAACCAGCTGCAGTCCAAAAACTGTGTAGTGTTGGTGGTGGAGCCAAGCCTCTAAAGAGGGCTTAGTGACTTGTGCTTTTTGTGTGGGAGTTGCCTGTTAGCTTGGGAGTGAGACCAGCATGGGTACGATGCTGCAAGCAAAAACCACTCTGGACACTCTCACCACTGTTTTTGCCTCTGCAAGGTGATGGCAGTGGTGCTGCCACATTCCAGCAGGACTGAGGGTAGAGTCAATCCGAGTGCATTCGATGCTAAGAGCAACCCATGGAGCTGAGGCATGGAGCATTGCGCAGCAGTACGGGAGGAGTACTGGTTCCAGGCAGCAGATGCTGAAATCTCACTCTGGAAAGACTGCCCTGTGGAAAGCAGCACTTTCACCAACCAAAGCTTGGCACTCCATGCCAGTCACCATAATTGTTTAGAATGTGGTATCTCTGCTGCTCCATGCTTTTCCATACTGCCAATCAGCAGATTCCAGAGGCTGCTGGAGAGGTAGCATTTTAACTGGATGAAAGATTACCAAGAGGAAGTGCTTCTGGTACTAAGCCAGATCCAACTCTGAGAAATCTATATAGAATGTGGCAAAGGTGGTAGAGGTGAACAGCCTGTGTACACTATTTTCTTGCCAGGGAGCACTTCAGTTGAAAGGGACAGAAATTATTAACAATTGCTATTTCACTGAAAAAACTCACTGAAATGTTTAATTTTTTCAAAGGAAACTTGTGTGATTTTAAATTAATCAAACCATTGTGTTTCCTTTATGTGGTGTCTAAAGTGCAGTTAGTAGTTCTATCTTTTTGCATATTTTAATGTGGAAGTCATGTCCTCAGTAATCATGGCACTCTCTCTTCTGATGGAGCTGCTAGGGGAAGCGTGGAGCAAATACAGAAAGTATGTGACAAAGCAGAGGAAATCAAACCTTGATCTCAGACAGGACCTTTATCTATGTAGTACAATTTATTTAACAAGTAAAATTTTAACAGGATATTCTCAATTTTTTCCAACAATGAATTATGCAGAGCTACTGCATTTCAGATACTCTTTGCAAATCCAAATTTTTAATGCCACTTTCCCCTTCTCCTTTTTTCTGTTCACAGTCAAAAACCCTAAGTGTAACCAATGTTGATACAGCAAACGATGTAATTCTGATGGCCCTGCAGCAACTGGGAATTAATGTAAGTCCTTGCACCAGTTTTAATGAGTCTTTTTTTGTAGTCACTTATAACAATCAGATCTTCCCTTGCACTTTTTCCAAGTTTTAGGATATGAACATTAATTAAATCCTTTAATATAGCAATTCAGAGTTATTGAAGTGCAGCAGAAGTGCCTTGCTAATATATAGCCCTCCAGAGATTAATAAATGCCTTAAAAGTTTTGAGTACATCTCTCATCCCTATAAGGGATCAGTCATGTTTCAAGTTGCTTTTAAATCTGTTTTGCTGAAGCCTAAGAGGAGACATCCTGACACAAGAACTGAGAGTTTGATAGAGCTCCTTTTGCATGCTTCAGTGTGAACAGGAAACCTACTGACTTGTCTGTTAGTTGGTTTCAAAATGTGCAAACATGCATGATCAGCTGTGCCCCAGATGACAAGTACAAGCACTGCTCTCAAGTGTCCGAATCAGGTACTCTAAATATCCATGGACCTTTAGAGTTATGTGAGACAAGAACGTAACTAAGTGATTGCACGGAATCTGAATGCATCCAATGTAAGCAATGTCCTGAAACTGTTTTGGAAAAGAGCTTTTACTGAACTTACAATAATGCAGGGAATCTGAATGCACCCAGTCTGAATCTTGAATGCACAGGATCTGAATGCGCCCAATTTAAGCAATGTCCTGAAACTGCTTTGGAAAAAGGCTTTTACAGGACTTATGGTAATGCAGGGTACTACCAAATAGATGCAGCAATCCCTACAATATCAAGTACTGCCTCAGCTGGCTTCTTTTGCTCTAAACCAGACCAGGTAGTGCCTCAGGTATGATAATGAATCAGTGCCAAGGACAAGAATTCTGGCTCCCTTATTCTGTTTCTCAATGTGGCTCAAACCAACACCAGTGATCATATAGAAGCTCCTGGATGACAGCTTTTTAACTGGCCTACCAGTCTGCTGTTTGGGTAATAAGATTTTTTAAATGTCTTACTCTTTGTGCATATGTTGATCTCATTGCGTAGAATTTGACAAGCCTTTCCTTACCACAGCCCTGGGTCTGAAGAGGTAAATATGAGCAAAATCCCACTATTCTGCTTCCCTGGGGCTTCTGGATATTCACAGAAAAAGTTGGAGTAACCTCAGAATTAGCATTCCGTATAATCTCTTATCCCTCATTTATAGAGGCTTTTAATGCAGAGGTCTATTCTACTAGCTTGGCATTTCTCAAGCAGAGCAATTTTTGTCTACCCACCTTGTTATGGCTCAGACATCCCATTTACACTAGGGCTGGAGCTCTGGCCTGCACTCAGAATCCAGTAGTCTATCCAATTAAGGAAGCTCTGGAGTTCATGGAGGGGGTTGCAAGGTGAAAAGGATAAGATGTGAGTTAAAATTAGGATTTTAATTGCAGATTTTTGGCACCAAAAATCAGGGCACTATGCCATATTACAACTGCAAGTCTTTATTGTGATGTGCTTCATTTTTACCCATTTTACAGGTGTCATTTGCACTTCCTCATTTTGTGTACAGAAAAAACAGAAAATGGTAGTATTCAAAGAGAATACTCTGAGATGAGCAGGAGGAGGAGCTGGTTGGTTTCAGCATTATGTTCTTTTGTATGTATTACAATCAACCCTTTCCTTCTCTTCACATTTTTATTTCAAGCGGAGAAAGAAGGAAAGCCATCTGAAAGATGTAAAATCTTGCCTGCAGAATTATTTGCCCAAGTAATATACTACATTTTTTCACTGCTTCTTTATTGCATAAAGCCTTTTTCCATTATAGGGATATCATAAGATTAGCAATAAAATCAAACAAGCTAAATAAATTAAGCTGTAGCCTGGGTATCAATCAAACACCCAAACCCCTCATAGGATTGTTCTGATTGTGAGGAAGCTTCTCGTTATGCAAGGTTTTTTATTTATGTCTAGAGAGGACCACTTGAAAGAAGCTTTATGACTTTTCAATGGCAATTATAAAAACTACATTTCACATATTGTGTGATTAATGGGCCTATTACTTTGGCCGAGTTCACTCTGGTTTAACACAACAGGGTTTTTTCCTCTGTGGTTGCTCTGGTAAAATGACAACTAGCTCGTGCAAAATGGCATTGATCATCTGTTCCAAATTATCAAGTGGGGCAGAAAGAAGGGCCTTGGGTTTCCCAGCTCTGTAATTACACTTGCTGACTTTTCTGGGACAGTCATATTTATACTGACAAATGGCCTCATAAGGCCTACAAAGGACAACATTTGAAGTCAGGAGATGAACAGTTTGCCTCCTGAAAGCCACATTTACTAGCTCTTTCCCTTCCCCAGCTTCCCCTTCACAGCAACAAACCCTTTCATATATATGTGTAAAAGGAAAAGCAAATACCCTTTCCTGTGCTCCTCAGCTGTATTTATTTGGTCCTGGCTGCTTGCCCTGAGGCATCAGAGATGTCTCCAAAGCCTATTTATTTTCCTTCTGCCCCCTGCTAGCTAACTTAACAGCAGTGCTAATATGGGCCAAAAAGCTCTGTCAGTCAGAAAGCAAACTGCAAAGGCTTTATTGGATGTATCAGCATTACACCAGGTGCATGCAGAAAGTAGGAAGAGTCTCAAGAGCCTTGGGAACACTGGGTGAAGGTCCAGACAATGCAGGAGAGTAGGCAAATTGTTTTAAAAGAGGTAGGATTTAACTTTAGTGATAAATAGATACTGTCATGAGGTATTTATCACCTTTTGTAGACAGAAAACTTTTAGATTTTAATTATCCTGATTGAACAGTATCACTGAAAAGTAATTTAAGGTAAAATAGATCACTTTTATTGCAGTGTATTTATCCACTTGCTATTTCCTTTTGTCCTGAGTGTGGTTTATATTAAATGTCATTCTCTTTACTTCTATTGTCTCACCATCGTATCTGGAAAAAGTATTATTCTCTTTCTTCAATTAAACTGCAACATTGACTTGTATATTTATGCTAAAGGCAATATTTTGAATTTGCTTTCAAATCAGAGGTTTTACTCAGCTTTTCGCAAAGATGATCACAATCTCCAGTCTTTTGAAAATTGTCTCCTTTGATGTAAATTTATTCTCTCCACTGTACATTTTAAAGAGGATTCGGCAGTCTAAAACACCTTCCAGTGCTCCCAAGCATTTCCACACGAAAGGGCTGCACAAAAGGGCTGACAGCAGCCCTACAAGGAGATTTTGGGGCAGTGTTGAGTGCCAGGAGTCCCATGGGTGCCATCCTTGCCTTGGCATCATCAGACTGGGTTCAGGTCTTGGGTGAAGGTACTCCTGCCCTGCCTTCCAGCGTGGGTCACAGGCTCACCAGCCTGAGCTCCTCCTTCTTGCTGGGGATGTAGAGAAGCTGGAGCAGTGGTGGAACAGAGTTCTCAGATCTGAGGCTTGTCCCTGTATGCCAGAGCACACCCCAGAGGGTGTGATTTCCGTGGTACTCAGGATGGAGCTGAAGGGTGATCTCAGCTCACAGGGACTGCCTGCTGTCTGCCCCATGCCCTGCAGCAGGCATCCTCCTCCTTGTGCTGCTTAGCTGTAATCCCTCTGGGGGATCAGACCCATCTCTCCCTGGCTCTGGGTGCTGCTCAGTGCTGCAGGGCAAAGTGGGCTGGGACATCCATCCCTCTGCTTCCAGGAGCACTGAAAGAATTGTGGGAAACCTTCCCCCTTATCCTCAGAAATGATGGGCTCCAGTACCTCTCAATGCTCAGAGCTGAATCCTGGTCACATAACCAGATTGCACATGACAGACAAAATTCAGAAACTTTGCTGGTGGCAAGCTTTGTCACTGGAAAGTAAACACTGCTGACAAGGTGCAGATTGTCCTTATATTGTGAGAAACCTTACATGAACCTGTCCTTAATGGCTGGCAAATTTATTCTTAATTTTGCTTTTAAAGGGCTCTGAAAAAGATTACAAGTTGTGGGTGATTTCAGGAAGAGAACATGCTCCTTACCCTCTTATTGGTAAGTTCTTGACATTGTTTTTTTCAATATTCACTCAGCTTTTAGTGCTGAAGGAAGCAAGAAATACAGGGAAGACTGAAATGCAGTTTCCTCTTTTGTTTTTCCTGGTTTTTTCTCTTACTTCCCTGTCACACAAGGTTGCTTATTTGGGGAGCTAGTCAGATGCTGATCCTTTGCTTTGAAGAGCTTGTGTCACTAAGAGGTTGGAAAAGGTCATTTATTTCTGCCGCAGTTTTGCTGCATGAGCCCCAGTCTTTCTGCAGAGTTGGCCTCTCCACTCACCCCCTCCTGGGGACATCAGCCTCGAGGCTGTCCAGCTTTACCATACTTCTTCCTACACCTCCAGAGCATTGTTTATTTCCCTCCTCAGTAAAACCCAGCAGACTTTTGAGAAATGTTCTGTTGTTAACTCAAGTTAACTGATTCAAGAGGTCCTTTTCAATCCCCTATTTTTCGTACTGGCTGACAGCTCCCCTCTGATTAGGAGAAAATTAGTGCTTATTGTCTTTCTAAAATGGTTTTCAAAACATTTTGTCCACAGAAACCAACCCAAAGTTCAGAAGTGATTGGATGGAGTGATTTGATTTTGGCCCATGATTCACTAAGAACAAATCCCCTCCCATTATTAATAACCTTTCCCTGTAGAAGCCCAGCATTACTTGTGCTGTAAGAGTTTGCAGATGATTAGAACAAGAAAAACTTATGAATTTCCTGGGTTTACCTCTTGCAGATCTAACCCCAGTAAATCTTAGCATTCCTTCTCAAAGCAGCCTTAGTTACAAATGCTTTGCTGGAGTCAGACAATGTTAATATTTATAAAAGGTCTACCTTGTGCACCTTATAGACAGTGCAAACTACTTTGCCTTTGAAAAATACCAGACTTTGGCTTTCTGACCATTACTGTGTATCCTCTTCAGAACAAATCACAGCCACAGCTCTAAACATAGAATCAGAGAATTCGGAAATGGTAAAGGCCTTTCTAATTGACTGACTTTCACTACAAATTCAAATTATAATCCTTGGAAAAGAAGAATCCTTGGAGTATGAAAGTGATGCTGTTCATGATATTTATGCAAATGTTTATTAGATAAGGTCAGCTTTTATCATAGGTAGACATCAGGAGCAGAGTTTTGACTGTGCCAAAGCTTCATACTACCTACAATCTCAAATAACATCTCTTCCAATCTCAGTGCTCAAGTCTAACTGTAAGCTAACTAAAACATCTTAGCATTGCATCCATATTTAATATATTTCATCTGCCAGGTCTTTAGAGAAGTCTGAAAAACGTCTTTCCGGTGGCATTTTTGAAAACTCCTCCAGAAATGAATTGTGTCTGTGTAGTCCCCGAAGATGCTGGTTAAAGCCAAGTGTAGCTCATTTGCATGAGCCTTGTGATTAACGTTTCCTTCCTGTTTCAGCCTCAGATGAGAGTCATAATTGTGGCTTGTTTGACTGAGTTGATGGCTGTTGCACTTAACACAGAGAAGGAGGGAAGATCACTTTCACTCTGGATTTTTTTGGGGGTTTGCATGCTTAGCAAAAATGACTGCTCCCCAAATCTCATTTCTCTCCAGAATGATACAAGCAATCAATACCTAAACTTTCAGTACTACAAGAAAAGCAGTAGAAATAGTAAATATCTGTATTTTTCTGATGGACTTTTATGTGATACTGCTGTAATAGGTCTGATTTTACTTTTACGTCTGATTAACTGCACCAAACACAGTAACTCCCTATCTGCCAGTGTATGATTTATGCCTGTGTAAATATGGAGAAAAGTGTCAATTCTTAGATTACTGAAAGAGAAAGTGCTGCAGACCAGCAAGCAAAATCTGCTTCCGTACAGGGCAGATGGAGTTTTGCAAGTCTCCAGTCAATCCAACACAGATTATTATGATTTCTCTTTGAACAGGACATGAATATCCCTTTGGAATTAAAATGAGCCACATTCGCGACGCTATGCCCCATGGATCAAAGCACTGTGCCTGCCCCAGGCAGGTTCAGGAGTCTTTCCTGACGGAGCAGCTGCCCCAGGAGCTGCAGTGCCAGTTTGTGCTGAAGCCAAGCCAAGTGGCCGTGTGCCAGCAGCTGAACGGTACGTTGCCCTGCTCACCCCAGCAACATTCACCCACAGCCTGGCTACCTCCCTGGCTCTGCTACAGAAAGCAAATGTACCAGCATGGGGGGTAGTGGAAAGGGAAGAGGATCATGCAGTTGTACCTTCCAGCTGCACGGGGGATTCTGCAATGTAGCCCTCCCTGATTTCAGTGTGCTGTTGTGTATGTGTCATCCTTGTAAGTTACATTTTGACAAGCTGCCTGTCAAATAATTGTTCTAAAAACAAGCCAAAGAAAGACAAAATCTCTCCCCTGCAATTTTTTGTAAGCCTATTAGGTGAGCTTCTCTCTGCAGCCCTTGCTGTGCTCTGTAGCAAGGCAGAGTGGTTTTATGGTTCAGGAGTCAAGGCTTGACTTCAGCACAGAATTCCTGTGCAACATTTGGCAGCATCCTTTATCTCAATAAGGTACTTAGGACTATACACCTACCTCACTGGGACCCTCAAGTGGCAAAGTCTAGACATGTACTTGAGTTCTTAGATGAGGTGAGCAAATAGAACTTCTTTATTTCAGTACTCTTTGAACAAATTGAAGAAAGTAGCATTTTCTTCTACCTTTGGCCTTGATGCTACAAAAGTATGAGCACCTGCTCTCTATTTTGCACTCTGTTGTCAACGATGCAATGACTGAGCACTGCTTGTAATAAAAGAAATAAGGAGATCTTTACTGGATTGAGGCGTTAGACCTAGGGCAAGGATACATCCCATGGTGTGTTTTAATTGTGCTTAACACACTGGCATACTCAGCTCAGTTAGGAACTCTGACCTACTTCACTGTTAGTGACTGTATCATAAAAAAAAAACACACATGCTGTTACCCTGTGCACTCCCCAATTGCTGAGATCTCCCACAATATATGAACAGAATCCATTTGTAATGTTTTTAGAAGTTAAATATAGTGAACTATACTAGTGACTATTATAAATTATTCTGAAAATTGATTATATTTTATATATATTAATTTCCTTTCCGCATGCCTTCACCCTCCCCCCCCTTCACAGTAATTTGTATCACATATTACTTCATGGCATGTTTCGAGAATGAGGCAATCTAGCAAAGGGGTGTAATTAGGTTTACAGACCCCGCTTTGGCAGCTGATGTTGACTGGCAAGAGAAAATAGAAATGCAAATCAGGCCTGTAGAGTTCTAATGCAGATGTGTTGTCATCAGCGCTGTGCAAGCTGCAGGAGGGGAGGTGAGGCTAGCTTGGGGCAGCAGAAGCCTGGGGCAGCCTGCATGTCATGCACAGGGATTGCTCTAAATGGGAGGAAGGCTTTTAGTCCATTCACCTTTCCTTCTTTCATTAGACAGAACCTCTTAAAGTGATGTATAGTCTGACTGCTTGCAAAGCAGGCTATCTCACATACAGCACTGTTTTTTATGCTCCTCCTAACTCCTTCTTACCTATTTCAGTTTTGGAAAATGGCAAAAGGTACCTGTATGCAAGCCAAGGCTGTTATCTGGCTTTGGGCTCACCTTCAGATCAGTAAGCCAGAATTTCTATGTTTGTTGTTGGTTAACCACTAGGCACAATGCCACATACAGGGAAAATTTACAGAGAGTGGCATCTGTAATCTCACATTTCACTGCCACATGCTGTGCTATCCTCCCTCCCATCACTTCCCTACATTGATACCACTGTGCTGGACATGCTGTGCCTTCTGGAGGCAGCAAGGAGTGGCTGCCCAGCTGCACCAGGATGCACCATGGTTAGGCAGCAGTGGCGGTGTTGACAGGCAGACATGACTGACACCAGGCCGTCAGGTCAAATAAGTAGCTGTGTGGTGGTGTAGTTGCATCAGCTGTCCTGGAAGGATGGTTAAAAAAAGTACAGAGAATTTAATGTGTGGAAGAACTGGAGTGTTTCTGTCACCTCTCCTGTGTAACCTTTCAGCACGTAACAGGAATGGTCACCTACCAGTTAAACATAGCCATTAAGTAATGCTCATGAGCACATGTCTAAAGTATTGAAAGAACCAACTGCTGCCAGTGGCTACTCTGTAATCCAAATTATTATTTAATTGTCTGTTAGAAAGCAAAGATACAACCAATTAGTCTCAATACAGAAAGGAGGTCTTTGAAAACTGTTTGACAGTTAGGGGTTTGATCGGAAAGGATGCTACACTGTTAAACAGTTCTTAAGTTTTATTTAGAAGTTTCTGATTATTCAAGAAGAGGAAATGCCACTTCCATGACTGGGACACTACCTATGAGTGGAAATTCCCTTCATATGAGCAGAAGAGATGGTTACTGTGAGCTCTGAGTTTTCCATCAAAGTAGTGTTGCTTTTTTTCTGATTCTGGCCTAGAATATTCCACCAGAGCAGGGTCCTGAGGTTTTTGTATGGAAGTACTTCTGCAGAGCAATAACCGGTGCTGTCTTGGCTGAGAGAAGCCTGGGCTTCTCCTTGTATTGCAGCTTTGCACAGGTTCAAGGAAAGAAAGTGTACATCCACCCCTTCTCATCTGCTCTTTAGCTTAAGACTTCTCAACCCTTTTAAAAAGGGAATATTAAAGGGATGAGTTTTCCTGTAGTTCAGTGAATGTTACTTTTTTAAGTGACATGGCATTTCCTTGCTGTACATCAGTTTTTGGTTTCTGCCCTGGTATACTGAAGAGCACTGGTTAAGATTTCCTTCCTGTCCCTGGAGAGAGCTGCACTTAGTTACAATTACCTCTTGCTCACACTGTCAGTTTGAGGCATGGCTTTTAGGAGGGGAGCAAAGAGTAAGAGACTAAGAAGAGTTCCCAATTTTAAGACCCCTTATTTATTCACTTCTGCTATTCCTTGGTCTCCAAAAAAACATCTTTTCTTAATTTTTACTTCCGCTGAGACCTACAGAGTTGGCAGAAAAAAACACCAGTATGTATTTGCTGTTGTATAACTGGAACTCCAAGTGAAGCAAACCTTATTTGTGTGCTGATATCCAGCTCATCTGAAAGAAAAAAATGTCATTTTGAAAGTTACAGGTTATTTGTGTCAAGTAAAGCCTTAGATACTGCCAAACTTACATTTCTTGAAGGTTTGGGCTGCTTAAAATGTATATCCTCATTACTTTTTATGAAAAGAATTTTTCATCAGGCTTTCTCATTCATATGTTCACATTTTGAATTAAACTGTAACTTTTCATCCTGTAAGCGTCTAATGAAAAGATTTCCACCCATTCCCAAAAGGAGCATGATCTGGAATGGAATGACCTATAATGAAAATCACTCTTTGAGCTAAAAAAACAATTGTAGTCAAGTGTAGGAGAGAATAAAGTATTGGAGAGAAAAACCTGGTATTATGCCGCAATCCTTAATTCTGCAAGCCTTGCTTCTGCCCTCCACAACAGCAGAAAGTAAAATGTTTGACGAGGTGGAAGAACCATCTAACAGAAAAGTATATAGGGTAGGCAAGCAACTAAGTCAATGCTGATTGGCTTTGAAAACCCCTTGAAAAGGAAAAATAATATCAGAATAAGTCTTTCCCAGTTAACATTTGTATTATAAACAGTCCCCAACTCCTCCCCACTTAGCAGTAGCCCATGCTGTTAAGAAGAGTTTACACTGTCTGATGTTGAGAAAGGTCATATGAAAAAACCCTTTTTGTATCCCAATACCAGTATTTCCTTCTCTATACATGGCAAATAAGAGAATAAGAGCTTTGATTAGTGGTGGTCTTTTGATATCTTGTGAAATATGCTAAAATTAGGACAAATGGAGCCCATCAGTGTGTCGGCAGCATGCTGAAATGCCATCTGGAATGCGTTGATTAAAGGTCAGGCACTGTCCCTGGGCCACGGTCAGCAAATGCTTGGAGTGAGAAGAGTAACGATACTCTTGCATTGCAGATAAGAGAGCAAAGGCAGTGGCTTTTCATGGTCTGAAAACATCTCACCCATTAGTTGATTCCCTGGTGTTACTTGTGGGGAGAATGGGTGCTCTCCTGCATTGCCAGGGACACTAGGATGCCTCTGGTCAGCAAGCCAAGATGAGGACAGAGGAAACCTTCTTTTCCAAAGAAGGTCTTTGGTTTTGCTTGTGTGGGTGAAAAATGAGTTGTACAGCAGAATCCAGCTCTGTGTGAATAGAAGTCAGCAGGCTGAGGTTTGCCCTCCTGCACTTAGTGGTAAGTGCTGATGCTGTAGTCCAGCAGCACAGTGCAGATCCTGTATCCTCTTCAGGACATGAGTAAGGCAACACATTCTCCACACGCACACATACACACACAGGTATATTCATGGTGGATTAGGCTTAGCTGTATGCCAAGGAGTTGTTTGAGTTCATTACATTTTTTCCTTTGAAACCGTAGCAACCACCAAAAACCAAATACTGGAACTAGAATTGAAATGCATTTCTTGTAATAAACACCTTTCTCTTTCCCCAGACTTAAGCCAAAAGCCATTTAAAAGGAAAAGATCTATCATAAATTGGGCTTTTTGGCGTGGCCCAGGCTCTCATTTGGACAATGCACCCCTCTCCACAACATCTGCTGCTCCCGGGAAGCTCTTTGGCCTCTTGCTAACAACCATCTGTGAGGATGACAACCTGCCCAAACCCCTCTTGGTGAGTCCCAGGCTCAGGGTTGGGTCTTACAGTGGTGGAATTTCTTTGTGTAGTAGATGAGAATGTGTTTGTATATGAGACATTAAAAGTACCCAAGCAGAGAAACCAGAAAGGCTTCCAGAAGAAAATCTCATTTGTGGTTCTCAGCAAGAACTTCAGTTTTTAACATATGCTGTGGTCAGGCTTAGTTACTAACAGCTTGAGAAATGTATGTGATCGGTCTGCTGCTCTGGGCTATTCCTTCTTTATAGCCCATGCTGTAAGGCCGGTTCCCTAATCCTCACTTACGCAGTGTAAATAAATGCCACGTTCACACATACTTTTTAAACCACTCCCAAGATCTCTGTAAAATCCCCAAATCCATAAATATGTCATCTACTGTCCCATATAGACAGCCCACGCATGCATAAAAATGCCACCTGCCCATAACTAGACAGTTTCAGAGCCTTTCTTGAAGGCATTCCAGGACAGGCAAGCACTCTGAGTCCTCGTTTTTGATCCGACAACACCACTGCAAAAACAGGTGGGAATGTGGAGGCTGCAGAAGCATCTTTTCATTCTGTCTTGAGAGAGTTCTAGTGCTGTGGGTGCTCTCAAAACCAGTCTAGGAACATGAAAAAGGTTTTCCTAGAACCCATTCCTAGGCATAATTAAGGCATATATGTGGCGTTTTTGGTCAGGACTAAGGGCTGCCCTGTTGTCGATGTAGCAGTTGAAGTATTTACAGAGTGGGATTGAGCCTCCTTCATCTTGATAGCCTGACTTTTGGCTGGAAGAAGTTGCCAGAACCCCACTGAAATCAATGGGGTTACACCAGTTTACAGGAAGAGATGTTTTGTCTCCAAAGCTTGTGCTTGATGTGCTGCTTTATCACTGCCTGAATAGTGAATCATACTAGGACTTTTCAGGTCTTTTAATAGTGTGGGTTTATTGTTTTCTTTTAAAGGAAAAGTGTGTATTTTCATCATTTAGATTATTTAAATAAGCCCTCCAGAGATAAACTCTGTAAGAATATGATCACCTGATTCCCTCATGCTCTCTGTTTAAGAGGTGAGCCAATGCTGCATATCAGAAATTTCTCCAAAACATAAATATTAGTAAATTTTTATCTGAAAAAATCCCCAGAGTTACTAAGAATAGAAACATAGCTTGGTAGGCTTCATTCTTTGAATCTTAAGCATTGTGTTTATGCCACAAAATATAACTTACTTCTGAATTCATGCAGCATCTCTGGAGAATGGAATACTGGGGGACTGTGTGGGATTTACCTGCAAGAGAAGGAAAATACCAGGGACGAATGCTGCAGGCATGTTTAATATCTGCTTCAGAGCTTGCTTTCACTGCTGAAGGGTTCTCTTTTAGCCATGGCCACGCCGAATTGTGTTACACCATTACCTTCATTCATGTCATTTTGTCTGGGTTTGCTAGTTTAACAGGGACTTCCCATTTTTATCTTGTAGATATTTTGTTCAAAATATATTTTCAAAGCATTTGTTCATGTGCTAATATCCTGTAGTGTGGGACTCAGCCTGTTTTGATGGCAAAGCTCTAAATTACTGCAAAGAAAATGAAAATGCTGCATTGAGTCCTGCTGCCATGAAGGCGCTTCTCCAAAGCATCTGCACTTACATGAATTCTTGGCCTTCAACATCTGCAAGAGTTGAGAAAGAAACATTAAAGAGGAAAATTAGAAATAATAGTTTCCATTAGACTTACTTGCACTGCTGTGTATCAGGAAGATCTACCTTACAGCCCAGACTGGGAAAGTCCCCAAACCCCACTTCTTAGCCATTACTGTTCAGTAATTCAGTTTTATGGTGATGGGCTCTCCCCAGTGTCCCTTTTCTTGCCATCTCTTTTGATAACTTGGTCCTCAGACTCAGATTATGTGTGTATACTCATAATCCCAGAGACTGTCTGCATGTATTTCTCCTTTGGAAGAGATAAACATGACAAATTCTGTATCGCTTGGAGCAGACCTGCAAGAGGTGACCGGCATGTCAGAGAGATGACCCACAGGAGACTGCAGAGAACTAAGCATCTGGCAAATATCATGAACATATTACCTCAGAAGAAGTTTCAGCATTTCCTTTTCTGCTTGTTTTCCTCTCTTATTTAGCAGAAGAAATAAGTCCCTCCTGTTATTTTAAAAGCTAGGCAGGAAACTGCTTATTTTCCCTTTCCTTTTAAGTATCTCATGTGGTAAACTGCCCACTTGTGTAGTCCTTTGCAGCCTCATTGTCTTTAGGAGAGCTGTAAGGCTGAGCTTTAGCCCTCTCTGGGTGACCTCCCAAGAGGGAACACCTTGCCTCAGAGGTGAGGCAAGGTGACAGCCCTGAGCTGCTTGCAGAGTACAATACCACTCAGAAGCAGCAAAGGGAGTAAAAACCTGACTCTGATCTGCTGAAGAAGTGCAGATAGATATTAAAGAAGTGCTTTCCAGCTTAGATAAAAATCTAATCTCTTTCAGACATCAACAATGGAACAGAAGTCTATCTCTGGTCAGCGATGATATTGACTACAATGATGAGCAGTGAAGGTCTCATATCTTCCTGCAAAGTTGTGTCTGTCTGAGGCCACTGTCAGATGCAGAGCTTTCAGTTAGGTAGACCCCTCTCCTTTTCCCATACCACAATGTTTATATATTTAAATGGCTTGGCTGAAACTTGCACAGGTCCTGGAAAATCATGCAGGAAGCTAGTGCTCATCAGTGGTAGCACAGTATTTATGAGATTTTCCAAAATGAGAGCCCCAAATCGCAGCTTTGCTGTGCAGTTTGGCATGGTTTGGAGGGTTAGCCTTGACTTGTGTTTTATTTCTGAGCTTTTTTAGGACTCAGAGGTTTTCAGATGGGGCAGAAGTGGCAAAACTGCGTTTTAATGGCACTGGACAATAAAATATATTTATGAGAAATCCTGTCTGCTTTTAAATTTTTTAGGACATGCTTTCCCTCCTTTACCAAGAAGGCCCTTCCACCAAGGGTATTTTCAGACGCTCTGGAAGTGCAAAAACCTTCAAAGAGCTCAAGGAGAAGCTTGATTCAGGCTCTGAGGTGGACTTAGCCTGTGAATCCATATTTGTGACAGCATCTTTGTTTAAGGTATGTGAAGAATGTTCCTTTCTCCCTTTTTGGGTGAGAGCAGCACAGATCCCATGCACAAGCAAGTAGAGCTTTTTTCCAGGGACAGGCCTAAAGAGGAACTGGTGAACTGAATTGAGAAGAATGAGCTGGCACAATAACATTGTGAGAATCTCACAATGGGTTTACCATTTACTTAGGATGAGGAAGAGGACTAGCCAGCTTGTTTTCATGCCGGTTTTTCTGAGTTCTCTGTTACAACTTGGTTCTGATACTCTATCTCTGCATATGAAATACTAAAAAGGCACGTTTGCAGACCTGTTTCCTTGCATGTCAGTAATACCCTACACTACAGACCCTGGTGAGTTTATAGTGTTGCCATGAATATTTGGATTATTTTTTTATGCACTATCTTTTCTTACAATCTTGTATATAAAAACCAGTGTTCCTTGTGCAAAAAAGCATCATAGCTTCCCTAGCTTGTTTGGGAAGCTAGGATTGGGAGTTCTTCCTAAGCTGCAACAGTTTCCCTCCCAGTGGTTGAGGTATTAAGGAAAGAGGAGTAGCATGACTATTCATGACTAGTATAAGTACTCTATTATCAAAAGAGATTGAATAGGGGAGAGAAGGTGGGGATGTCTTGGAGTGCTTATGGTCTGGATGCATTTGATCTTAGGAGAAGAAATAGGGACTACAGATGAAGTTAAGGGATAAGTGAAGACAACAACAAAGTAACTGGTCTCACTGCAGATTTTTTAGTTCAGCAATATCAGATGAGGCTTGCAAATACCTCTATTTTGATAGGAAAGGGTAAGGACAGGGCAGAAAAATAATCATTTTAGGCATAATCTAAAGTACTTCCATATCTCAGATAGTTTTCTTCTGGTTTTGGTTGCTGTGTGTAACAATATGCTTGTCAGCGAGCGCCATCCCACAGATACATCCTCTTCTATGTGCATGTCTTACTCCTACTGCCTCACATGCTCCAGAACAGCTGTTCATGTGTTTTGTTATTCTTTTCTCTTGACAAGGATTTTCTTCGCAACATCCCAGGCAGCATTTTGTCATCCCAGCTGTGTGATAAGTGGGTCTCTGTGCTGGATCAAGGAAATAATGAAGAGAAGATAAAAAGCATACAAAGGTAGAGTTACTTTATATTCTCTGCATTCTTTTCCTGTAAATGTATATCCCAGAATGCAGAATCACAAATATTCAATTTACAATTATTTTTTTTAAAATAGATGCTAAAATTATCTGTGTATATGACAGAACATTCAAACTTATATATGTACTTAAATGATTGTCTGTATGAAACAGTTTACTGACTCTTTTGTCCCACTTTTTTGCCTTTTGTGGATACCAGTAAATAAATTAAATATCCTTTCATGAAGAAAACAAAACCAACTTATATTATTTGTAAATACACCATCCAAGATCTGAATTTCTGTCTGATATCAAATCCAAAACCACCTGCAGGGAACTTTGGAGTCCTGGATGAAAGGGAAGATGAAATCAGTTCCTCATATATTTCCCCTGATTCATCTCAAATTTCAGTGACCATTCTGAAGCCAAGATGGAATTGTGTGTAAATGCTGGAGCAGAGTGACAAGGGAAACCTCCACCTTTGCAGATGGTATAAAACAGAAAGTAGGCAAAGTTTATGTCACGGGAAGCAGAGCTTGGTACACCAGCTGACCTCACACGTACTTACACACATATATACTTAAGGCAACTAGATGACATGGAGAGACAGCCGAACACTTTGGTTAAGTGAATAGTGAATTATCAGGGAGCTTAGGTGAAGTACAGTTTCATGGCATTTATTGTACTTGGTTCATTAGTTCGACAGAGCATAATTTTAATTATGTGTTGTGGTGTTTTCTGTTGTTCCAGAAAACAGTGAGGGAAAGCAGCTGAGCAAGAACATCTCTTTGACACACTCCCAGCTTTAATTAGTGGACCGTGTTACCCTGTTTCTGTAATTCCATTGCCTTGACTTGTGTGTATCTATGGAAAATGGTCGCTAACTTGAAGAATTACATTTGTGTATGTTTTCAGGTTATTAGAACAGCTCCCCAGAGCTAATGTTGTTCTCCTGCGTTACATCTTTGGAGTGCTGCATGGTATAGAAATGAGATCTGAAGAGAACCAGATGAATGCATTTAATCTGGCTATCTGCATTGCACCTAGCCTGCTCTGGCCTCCTGTTTCCTCCACTCCTGATATAGAAAGTGAATTTGTAAAAAAGGTAAGAGACACTTAAATGTAGTAAAAAAACAAACCAACCTTCTTCCTGTTCAACCAGGCTGTTGGTTACAAACATGAAAACATAGAATACCTCTTCAGATCAGGACTTGTCCTCTTATCAGGGCTCCAGAAACATTCATCTATCCATTCTCATAATCTGCCTGGAAGAAGGGGAGGAAGATCATAAATCAACACCCAGTGTATTAGTGAAGTGCTTCTCTCATCAAGAAGCTCTGTGGTTGTGGTGACCTCAGAACAGTACAGAGTAGAAATGGAAAAGATGTGTATAATGATGCATACCAGGACATTTTATCTGGGCCCAGGGGACTGAGGGAGTAGTTCCTGGCTGCCATCGTGGAATACAGTTTGCTCCTGTTCTTCATCTGTGTGGTGAGCTTGCCCTGAGTGCAATAATAGAAGATCTGACAAGACATCTCTCTCCCATTGCTTTGTTGCAGATTTCCAGTCTGGTACAGTTCCTCATTGAGAATTGCTGTAGGATTTTTGGAGATGAAATCACCTCCCTCTTCGGAGAAATACTGATGACATGTAATAGAGAGAACAGCTCAGGTAATACAGATTGATGTTTCGATCCCCTCAAGACAGCTAAATTTACCCAGATAAAAGATCAGTCTACTGCATGGAAGAGTGCTGTTCCCTTTTCATGCAGTGTTTCCAGATAGTGCCGTTCTCTTTCCTCTGCCCACAGTATTGGTCATAAAAACTGATTCAACTTACCAAAGACCTGAGCCATATCACAGAATGCTCTCACATAGAATCTCTTGCTCCTGTACCAGTCATCTGAGCCACTATGGTAAAAAAAAGGAGGAAGGGGAAATGAACTAAAAAAAAGGAAAAAAATCTGCAGAAAGCTTCATCTTAAGTCTAGAATTTTTGCCTCAGCCTCCAGAATATCGTGAAGTCAGTGATCAACAATGGTTATAATGCAGCTGTCATGTCACACCATTATATTAGGATTGAAAGTCTATTCTTCACTATGAAAAAAGAGAGATCTTCATAATTCCAATGGGACATCCAGATTTTGCTACTAGCACAGAAAAATCGTGGAACTGGTGACTGAAATTGTCTGACAGACTAGTTGACAGAACATTCCATATTATTCTTAGTGCTCTTTTTCTCTCCAACTCTGTGATAGCATTGATTTTGACTGGAGTTTTGTGTCTCTCCCAAAAGTATTTCTAAAGCAGCATTTTTTGTAAAATAGATTTTATCACAGCTGGCCTATACTGGAAGTGGTAATTGCACTTGCATTGGCATGCCAGACTGACTCAGTGGGGCTGTTCTACACTCCTCATGCTCCATGTGAGACTTGATGAAATCCAGTGAAATTTGGCTTGCCTCCTCCCCCAGGAGTGAAGCGCATGGGATCTGCTGCGCTGGGATGTGCTGGGACTGATTGCTCAGACCCACAGTAGGTTATGGCAGCTGAACAAGTTTTCAGGCACGCACTGAGGTGTGGTAACTGCCCGTGTGTGAACTGTGTCTGCTGCAAATGTGAGATAAGTCAGCTTAGACTGGCCCGGAGCAAAAGAGATTTAATGTAATTCCAATTATCGCAGATCCAGGATAGGACCCAGGTGTGCCCTGCTCAGTGGAAATGAGGTGACTGTTTAAACTGAGACTAAAACTTCACCGTGTTGCTCTTAAAAATATATTTTCTGGAAGACCATGGAAATACAAAGTATGCTCTGTTTTCTTCAGTTGTCTGAAAGAAGGAAAGAAAGGTTAAATGTTGTTTTCAATATTCAATAATGAAAAGAAAAATCCAATAATTACCAGCTAAATACATGTATGTATGTAAATAATTGTTTACAGCTAGATTATCTACTACTAAAGTTCTCCACTTAAAAAAAACCAAAACAAACCAAACCAAGGAAACCACAACAACAACAAAAAAAAACCCTAACCCTTAATTGTGCCATTATCTTGTATTTCTTGACTGAACTGCAACTTAGCACTCACTTGAGCTTTTCCATTTCAAAATTAGACAGTAATTTTTTCTGAAATTATTGGTATTTCCTCTTGAAGAATGTTTAAAGGGCAAATGCTCCTAAAAGTAAAGGATACTTACCAAAAAAAAACCATAAAAAAAGGAAACTGCTTATCAATAGGGTGGTTCAGTCACTGATGTGTTAACACTTGGTTTGTCCTTGCAGATGTTGCTTCTCTCCATCAGAATGACTCTTCCTATGACAGCCTGGAAAATGAGGCAAATGATGAAGCTGATTCTTCTTCTAGTGACTGGATTAAAACCCGCGATCAAGATAACAGGAGCAGAGAGTCTGTCTTCACTCTGAGTGATGGTGATTCGGAGCAGACAGAGGTGGATGAAATCCAAAGCAAGACCAAATCAAAGCAGTTGACACTTTCTGTTGGCATGCACCTGAAGTTTTCATCACAAAAAAGCTCACAGAATGAGTCTCTGTGCTCCAGTGCACTGGGTTTCTCTTCAGCAGCTACCTCGGGTGCCCTCAAAACTTTGAGGAGATACAGACGCTCCTCCGAGCCTGCAGTTGCCCTCCTCGCCTCCAGTTTCGTCCACACTGATGATGGTCATGAGAAGGCAACACGCAAAGCCAGCTGTGATGCTGTCCTATCTCATGAAGAGGAAGACTATCTCTGTCAGCTTCGGTCGTTGCAGATGGAAAGGCAAAAACTTAGCAATCAGAGCTTGATTATGGGGATTAATGTTGGTAAAAGTGACAACACAAACCAAAACGTTGAAAGGAAAGACCTGTCCCACAGTCTCCTGCCTCCAACGCCTGAGGGATTAAATATTTGCTCAGGATTTAGCTGTTCTAGCCAGTCTTCTTCGGGGACATCTCCATCTGTGTCGTCGATTTGCTCTCTGGACAGTGCTTTCTCGCAGTTTTCAGACCAGACTCTGTTTACCCTAAGTGAAGTCTCCTGCCCTTTCGACAGCACTTTTCAGTTGCTAAAGAAACACGAAGATGCTGATGCTGCTGTGGCTGGTGACTATTTGGTTGCACACACCAAGGTGCCACCATCTCCACAACCTACTGACACTGTGGCTGAGAGGGGCTTGGTGGAGCCCAATAGCAGGCCAGCCCCCCTGAAACCTACTGATGGGGTTGATGGCTATTCGATTAAGCCTAAAATTCAGCCATTGCCTCTGAAAGTCACAGGAAGGGACAGTGTTCATGATCAAAGAGGACGTCTAGAAAAACACTGCAGCAATCCAAAGTTTAAAGAGACTGACCAAAGCTTTTTTGCAGAGGAATATTAATGCGTAAAATAAACACCATAAAGAAAATGCCTTTGGTGTTAATGTGTGTTCATTTTAAGTTTAACATCCAGGTTGTTCAAATTTAATTGAGCAGTCCCCAGACTCACAGGTTTTCTTTTTTTAGGAAACTGTTTGAGTAATGTTCTGACATAAAGCTTTGCAAGAACATTGTAACAATAATAAAAATTTCTGAAAAGCAAGAAAACAGAAGTCTCCTGAAAGTCTGGAAGGGGCACAGGAGGTAACTAAGGCCAGTGCCCTGTTCTCTGACCCTGCCAGGGCAGTGGGGTGCCTGCTGGGCCTCTCCCCTTGACCACTCGAGTGTTGAGCCTTGCAGATGTGAGTCTCAGTCCTTTGTGCTTTTGATGTAGTGTGCAAAGTCAGCATAGATTCCACAACTGTGGTATTATACTACTGTTCTGAAACTGATGAATATTCCCTTCATTGTCCTCCAAGGAGTAAGTGTATTGTTTTCTGTATGTTTATGCGGTATGTTTGATAGGTGTAGTTATTCCTTTCACACTGTAAAAGAAAGACAAAAGTAAGCTCAAAAATATGTAAAGGGAAATGCAGAAGCTTGTAACTAACACCCTGCCACTCTGTGTGTTTCATTTATTGTGCTTTGTTGGCTGTTCTGTTCATGTTTAAGTTGTGAATATTTTCTTAACATTGCTGTAAATGGCATTATGTATTATTGCAAGCAGAACACATGTAATTTTATTATGCAGCATCTAAAACACAGAATCACACAATGGTTTGGATTGGAAGGGACCTTGAAGATTGTCTAGTTCCAACCCCACTGCCATGGGCAGGAACACCTTCCACTGGATCAGGTTTCTCAAAGCCCCATCCAACCCAGCCTTTAACACTTACAGGGAAGGGGCATCCACAACTTCCTGGGGCAACCTGTTCCAGTGCTTCCCCACCCTCACAGGAAAGAATTTTTTCCTAACTACCAATCTAAACCTGCCCTCTTTCAATTTAAAACCATTGCCCCTTGTCCTGTCACTCTCTTCCCATATAAAAAAAAAATAACCTCCCTCCTTTTTATAAGCCCCCTTGAGGTACTGGAAGGCCGAAGTGAGGTCTTCTGAAGCTGCCTATTCTCCAGGCTTAACAACCCCAACTCTCAGCATTTCCTCATAGAAGAGGTGTTCCTTTCCTCTAATGTTCTTTGTGACCCTCCTGTGGACCCCTCTAACTGGTCCACATCTTTCTTGTGCTGGGGACCCCAGAGCTGGATGCAGCACTCCAGTTGGAGTCTCACCAGAGTGAAGTAGAGGGTCAGAATGCCCTCCCTTGCCCTGCTGGCCACACTGCTTTTGGTGCAGCCCAGGGTACTATTGGCTTTCTGGGCTGAGAGTGCACATTGCTGGCTCATGCCCAGCCTCTCATCCACCAGCACCCTCAGGGTCTTCTCCATAGGGCTGCTCTCAAGGAGTTCTTCTCCCAGTCTGTACCCATATCTGGGATTGTCCCGACCCAAGGCAAGTTGCAGCACCTTGCACTTAGACTTGTTGAACCTCATGAGATTCCAGTGGATCCACTTCTTGAGCTTGTCCAGGTCCCTCTGGGTGGCATCTCGTCCTTCTGTTGTGTCAGCTGCACCTCTCAGCATCATGTCATCTGCAAAATTGCTGAGGGTGCACTCGATGATCTCACTGTCTTTGTCATACGTCATGTAATATATTAAAGTGATGCATTATCTAAATGCTTTGAGTTTGTATAATATATCCTGTTAAATTTTGCTATTATATATGTTCTGAATAAAATGTGTATTTTTGTACTTGCAAAAAACTGCTGCTAATTTTACAAGTTCTGTTTTGTTGTTACAGCACTGGTATTGATGTGTATGCATTCAATGCTATCTATTAAATATTATTTGTTATGTCATAAATTCAATTTATATTCTGTGTAATTTTTTTTTATCTGTCAGTTCTACAAGCTATTGCTGAAGCAAAAGTCCCAGTGATGCCACTGCAAATCTTGCATGAGGAGGGATTGAAGCATTTTTCTTCTGCTTTCGATGGCATAATTCATACTGCATGCCATCATCCTGTGGAATTCTGTAAATTGTAGCAATATTCAAACAAGAATTCCTACCCTTTTTTTCTTCATCTGGAGGTAGGAGGGTGCTTTCAGCTAATGGGATGCAATTAATAATATGGAGGTGAAGAGAGGTCTTTTGGCATAATAGATATTACAGTTGGAAGCAAGGAAAGGGGGGGAAGCAAGTCATGGGATGAAATCAAGATTTATTCTTTAATATTAGCTGCGTTATAGAGAAAGCAAGAATGGCAGGGATAAACCAAACACATCTGAATGTGTGTGCATGCATACAGTGCTTCTGAAATTGCACAGATGGTTTCCTTAGCTTTCTGTTTTCAAAAGCCCTCCCCAACTAAGTTTAATACTGGCCAGTACTGGAGTTTCAGATCCTGTTGTGCTTAACTATGCTGTCCTAATGGTGCTGATGCTCCTAAGTCACTCACATGTGTGAAAAATGTAAACACTGTCCAGTGCACTAAGCTGCTTCCAAGTATTATCAGCAGAACAGGCTTTTAGCTCTATGTGAAACAGAATGGATACTCTCCAGCAGACGAAGAAGAGGGAGGAAAGTCTGTTAACAAGGTTAGAAAATACCTTTGCTTGAAAATATAGAATCAGAGGGCTATTATTTTGGGCTCTAATCCTGCAAATGTTGTAAGCAGAGCTGCATTTGTGGAGCCCCATGTAATGCAATAAGCCATCATGTGCTTAGAACAGTACCAGCATGTATAATTGTGTGCAGGCTCCAAGACTTGACTGCAATTTGTTCTCTTTCACATTCAGCTATTTTAAAGAAAACAGTCCTATGCAGAGTCTTATCTGTAATAGTCACCTTCCACAGGTAAAATACTTCATATGCGTTTTGAGACCTGTCACCTAATAGCCCTACGTATGCACCTCCTTCAAAACAAACGAGAAAAGATGCTATCTTGAAATAAAACAGCTACTCTGCATCACTGTTTGAAATGGTAAAAAGCGTATTGCTGTGCTGCCAAGATTACATCAAGTAGCAAATATTGATTCATTGCAACAATAATAAAGCTTTAGAAAATCTCTAGTCTCTGCAAAATAAATGTTCTGTCCTACAAATGGTATCTTCCAGCAAGTCATTTATCTCTGCTAGTCTGAGGTAAGGGTATATCCAAGTGTGCTTCGATGTGAAACAAATTATGTGTCTGCTTTTGAGCTGTAGCTAATGCTGGAGTGCTTTCAGCTTTAAATATATGGCGAACAAGTTGGGTGTAGAACCAGCACAATTTAAAATGCACTTCTACCTTACAAGACATACACCCTGCTGCTGCACGAGGCATGTTCTGTGACAAGAACAAAAAAGAGTGCTAATGGAGAAGATCACTGCCTGCAATGCCTCAGTGAAGGAATTAAATGCTGTTAAGATTCAAAATGAATTGTAGTGAATGTTTTCAGAGTATCAGATGCGACTCTAAACACTGCAGTAAGCAGCAGCTTCAGGTATGTTATTGTTGGGAAGCCAACATTTGATGTACAGGGGTCCCAGCTGCTCTCCTCCCCTGGGCACCCTGGTGGGCTGGAATGGGATCTTGGGTCCAAGTAATATTAAAAATAAAGTTTTGTAACTCTTTTTTATGTCTTTGTTGCTGGCCTTTGTGGTGGGCTACCCTGTCTGGATGCCCACCAAAGCTGCTCTATCGCTCCCCTCCTCAGCTAGGCAGGGGAGAGAAATTACAGCAAAAGGCTCGTGGGTTGAGATAACACCAAGGAGAGATCACTCACCAATTACTGCCGTGGGCGAAACAGACTCAGCTTGGGGACATTAGTTTACTACCAAACAAATCAGAGTAGGGTAATGATAAATAAAAATCTAATTCTTAAGACACCTTCCTCCCATCCCTCCCTTTTTGCTGGGCTCAGCTTCACTTCAGATTTTCTCTACCTCCTTCCTGTCAGCGGCACATGAGGATGGGGAATGGGAGCTGTCGTCAGTTCATCACGTGTTGTCTCTGCTGCTCCTTCCTCCTCAGGAGGAGGCTCCTCACACTCTTCCCCTGCTTCAGCCTGTGGTCCTTCTCATGCGAGACAGTTCTCCACAAACTTCTCCCAATGTGAGTCCTTCCTCCAGGCTCCAGTTCTTCATTAATTGCTCCAGTGTGGGTCCCTTCCACGGGGTTCAATCCTTCAGGAACAGGCTGGGTGGTTCCCTTGCAAGGTCACAAGTCCTGCCAGCAAACGGGGCCCGGTTTATGTCTGCCTCCATAAACTGCTGTGGCTGCTTTGGAGGAAGTGCCCAAGTTTTTGTGACAAATGGTAGGTGAGATGTTTCCCAAATGTTTTCTCCTTTCATGAAGCAGCAAAATCTTACAGAAAAACAATAGAATAAAAAAGATGACTGAGTTAAGGAAGAAGCATGGCAGTGACTCCTCATCCACTGATGTCAAGGACATAAAATGAAGCAAACTGAAAAATTACCTTGCTCGTTTGGACTTTCTTTCCCACAGGGGTTCATGTTCTCCTTGTTAATGATCATTCTGCCTCTGTTTCACAAGTACTAACCATCATTCCTTTCAGATAACTTCAGAGATTAATATAATATAAATTTAGAGCAATTTATTCTCAACCTGCATTGAAAGTCTTTGTCTTTTTTTAGCCCTGATGCAGGACTTCTGTGCCTGAAATATCACTGTTTGGGTTTATTAAGGGGTTTTTTGTGTGCTTTTCCATTCTTCTTCATTGAGTTCATAAATGCTATTCCTTCATCCCTGTAAATTTTATCTCTCCAGAACAGCCCAATCCAGGAAAAGGAAAGATATGTACCATCTAATTCTTATTTAAGCTAGTTTGCAGAGTTCAAGTGAAATAGATTACAGGTCTGGGTAATGAAGCACGGCCTTTAAACTGAAGATGTCTTTCTATCCGTGACTCTAAATCACTGGATTTCTGTTAAGACCTGATGTTCCAGCCCCTTTTTTGTTTTAGGGACATATGTGGTCCCAGGATCTGGTGGTCGACATCTCATTTCCAGCTCTGTTTCTGATCTGCTGTATGACATTTGGCAAAGTTATTTGTCTCCTCTGTTGCCTGTTTTTCACCACTAGTCTTTTCTCTAAATACCGTGGTATGCTGGGGCAGGCTGGTGGTTGTTAGTGTTTGCACAGCACCCAGCAGAGGGTTGGGTGCTGGAGGTGGGGGAACTGGACAATGGTGTCGATACAATCCAGGATGCCATTGACCTTCTTGGACACCTGGGCATGATGCTGGCTCATGTTCAGACACTGTCAACCAGCATCCCCCAGGTTCTTTTCCACTGGGCAGCTTTCCAGCTACCTTCCTCTGTGGAACATCACTTGTGACTGGCTTGTGTCAAAGACACGTAGCTCATGTCCAGAGAAAGGATAGCAACGTTCATCACAGACAGAGAAATTTTGCTAAAAGTAGCTAAGTCAGACAAATAAATAAAATTTTTTGAGACAGATTATGATTATAATTTCTTAAATAACCTAGAAAATGCCTGAGAAACAAAAAAAACCTATAGTCTTACACCCAATCTTCAGGTTATCCAATAAGCTTATATATTAAGAGCAGACGCTATGATATATGTTTTTTCTCAATATTTAACACCTCCCCATCTCCTGTGTCCAGAAAAACTGAGTATGCATAAGGAACTAGGCTCAGCGACACCACTGGACATCCTCGTGCACTCACAGTGTTTTGAGGAATCATCTAGAGGGAGACTCAAGGCATCATCCACAGTAAGTGCTTCTCCTTCATCAAGGGCTAATGTGGGAAGAGCCTGAGCAAGCAGCTGCAGCTGCACTGAGCCTTGTCTTTGGCATTTGTGCAAGCCCACTTCCCCATGGAAGGGTCCTTCGCTCCCGCCAAGTGCAAGAGGCAGTGGAGCCTGATGTCTGCCGGCTAAGCAGAGCCCTGCATAAACATCATGGGAAAGGAGCCAGCTCTCTCATTCACAGACATGCTTGAATGATTTCACTTACTCCCAAGATTAGTTACTGATGTCTCTGTATTGAGGCCACTGTCAAGCTAAACTAATTGACCCACTGGTGTCCAAAGGGGGAGACCCTTTGGTTAAAGGTGTTGAATATTTCTGTTAGGACATGATTGCCACACAAGGCCTAAAGGTTTTGGACATCATTTGTGTCTTACAAATATGTACAATGCAGTGTGCAATGATTTTTCCTTGATACTAGGTTTGCTCCAGGCCCTATTTTGTCAGTTTCATTGTGGCTTCACTGCAAATGTCAGCAGTTCCTCGAGGACAAATACTCGGTAGCTGCTGCCAGTTGCATTAAGTTAAATAATTCAGAATTTAGCCATTCTGTGACCCTACATTGGAGAGGTGTTTTCAGTACAGAAATTATTTCTCTGCACTTGATTCTCCTGTCACAAACTATTTCCGTCAACATGCTACCAATCTGCTCTCAGGCGCAGCAGTAATTCTGATGTGACCATTAAAGGCAAGGCTTTCCTCGTCTTCCTCCTTCTCCTCCTCCTGGCTCTGGAGAAATTCCACAGGATTCCCTGCTGCCCCAAGGACTGGGACAAGCAGTGGGGGCTGGGTAGTCTGCCAGCCAGGAAGGGAAGGGACAGGACTGTGCTGCCAATGTGCACGCCATCCCAGCTCAGAGCTTAGACAATGAGTCCTGACAGTAAGTGCTGATGAAGGAAGAGTGACCTGTGGAGAGAACCTGTTGGTGGTTAAAGCCTGGATTGAAGAGGATCCCCCCAGGGATCAGAGGCAATGCTGGCTATGGGATCCCAGTCCCCCCACCTGCCCCAGGAGTGCTCCAACCTTATCCCTTGGACTGTCAGAGGAGTGTGGTCAGCTTGGGGTTCCCCCACCAAGGCACTAGTGGGGCTGC